ATTCTCATGATCCACATAAACAAGCTTCCATCCTACCCTCCCACGATCTTCCAACTGACCCTCTATCCCAAACCGACGTGCCAAATCGTGCTTGAGCTCATCGTAATCTGAATAACGGGTTATATCAATTGACCTCCCCACAGCTCCTCGTTTATATACCTTCAGAACAATGACATGGCAACCTTAGAAAGTGAGCAAGATAAAAGGAAGGTAGCAAAGTAGAATAATAAAACCGAAATAATAAAAAGGAACACAATATATTCTAAAACAACAACTACCTTAGTATAAGTCCTCATCCGCTGAAACTGGGGTTGAGGGGCCCAAGAGCTTCCGTTCAAGAAGCTACTATCATTGATCGCGGAGTCAATTGAGTTGAAAGCCAAATCTGGAACTCCAAATGATTGAGACACAATCGATGATGAGAGTTCCGGCTGAGGATCTTTAGAGTTTGAAATTGCACAGTTAGCAAGCACACCCCCAGAAGCAGGGAGATTGTTTGAGAAATCTTTCTCCAGTCCTACCATGGACTTTGATAACAAATTATCAGAACTCACGTGCATGCCGCCCAGCTGACCTTGCCTATCATCAAAGCCGATCCCATATGGCACATTACTATTCCTGTGATCAGCCAGGGGAAGTTCTGCTCCATTGTAGCTTGCTTCTCCTCTCATCAGCATCGGCTGTGAATTATGCGATGTTGTGTTGTTATTCTGCTGCAACTGCTGCACGTCGTTCTGAGACAGGCAGACTGAGGTTGAAGATGAAGTGTCTAAATAATCAGCCTGAGTAGTTGTGGTGCCATTTACATACGAGTGAGGGGCGAAAAGTCTCTGGTTTTGATTCTTGGTGGAGATGTTAAGGGATGGCTTAACATCTGATCTCTGCTGCTGCATGTCTTTCATCATGAGGTGGTTAGCACTAGACATTGTATCCAACATTGCACTAGGACTCAAAAGTTGTGTGCCAGCAGTTGGAGAGATGTCCTCAGCCAATGTAGTGCTTCGATAACCGTTCATCATTGGCTGAACCAGATTCGGGCAGTTGTTCGTAGAAGGAGAAGTAGAGCAAGATGGCACATCATCAGTGATAGCAGATTGACCTACTCCTCCAGCTGTCAACATATTGTTGCCACCACCAACTGTAGAGAGCTGATTTATTGTTGAGCTAGGAGATACTCCCAATATGCGCCCAGGGATTTCAGGTTCTTGGTGCTGAAGTTTCAGCTGATGTGGCAGATGAGAAAATCGAGCATTCACTTGGCTGTTGCTTTTAGCCATCTGTTGTTGAGCAGTACTAGGCTGTGGGAGTGAAGAGGTCAAAGCTTGAGGCATTTCCAACATTTGGTTGGAGCTCATAGACCTCGAGAAGCTTTGGGATACATCCGATAATTGTCTTTGTGGGTCTTGCAACTGAGTCTGGGGAGCCAACGGTGATGGCTGCTGCTGCTGCTGCTGCTGCTGCTGAGCTAAGAGTGACTGCTGCTGAAGCTTTTGCAGCAGCTGAAGCTGGATCTGATTTTCAGATACTTGGAAATGCTGGTTAACTTGGTTAGACAACTGGTTTGGCATGAAGAGGCCTTGCTGTTGGTTTTGATTAAAAACATGTTGCATTTGAGTTTGCTGCTGAAAACTAGGAGAGGAATTTCTAACTAGCTGATGATGACTTTGAATAGGCTGCTGCTGCTGCTGCTGTAAAATACCATTGGCCTGGACCATAGACTCAGGTTGGAGAACCTGGGATTGAGCTTGACTGAAAACTGCCCTAGGTTGTTGAGTCCCATCAGCAACCTGCTGCTGTTGTGGTTGCACAACTGAGGCCAATGGGTTGATGCTTGAGGGTGGCATTTTAGTGAGCTGATGGTCAAGCTGTTGACCCTGCTGAGGTAGCCTTGGAGAAGTCAACTGGAAGTTGTTTGGCTGAAGAATTTGAGAGGCTGCTGACAAACCTAACTGTCGAGAAATGTCAGCTGCACCAAGGTTTGGAAGAACAGAACCTGGCAAGGACTGCATGTAATTTTGCTGCATAGAATTAGCTAGTGATGGGTTTTGTTGCATGTTCATCCATTGAACTAAGCTTAGGCCAGGGAGACTCTGGGGATCCTTCAAGATATCATCGCCAAGCCACGGCATGCTCCTCTTGAATATGCCATCTAAATCAGAAGAGTCGTCATCTGCAAATTGAAATTATATCTTTCAGAAATTTGGCATCATTGCTATAGTTTTGGAAAGGTGAAGTGTTTGTCAAGCTTAAAAGAGTGCCTTGCTCATGGAGTAAAGAGTTGTCACTATGTTCAGGATTTTATAATGTCACTTCAGCACATTTGTAACAAACCACATGGGGTGATGCTGGGGATCATAAAAGGTCAAACTTTGGCCACAGACCAGACAAAATGAAGGAATCTTGACACTAAAGCTGGCCAAATATATTATTAATTCAATTTCCAAGAATGCTGATCTTTAGAACAACTCCGTCCAGGAATGTATCAATGATCCAACAAAGAAATGCCAGTCAAGAAGGGTAAGTAAACTAGACACCTAGGTGACAGATAATCAGAACCCACAGATGGTCAGAGAATGCAGGAAATATGTGATGGAAATACAGTGCTGGTTAAGTGATTATACCTGGCATTCCCGGTTGTCTTGGACGCTTGGATCTAAAAAAAGGAGGGGGGCATATGAAAAATGGAGCAGTGACAGGTTCAATCTCCCAAACCGAAAAACGATTGCGCCTTTCCCCTGCAGTTGACTCATCCCATCCAACCTGTCAACACGACAAGATAAAAATGGTTTTACTTTTTAATCTCAACTGGTGGATACCTAACTGGCTAGCTCTTGGATAACCCAAATGGCAAAGTCACAACCTGCAAGTTACGCCACTGTGAGTTCTTCCATCTTACAGGATCAAGATCACTAATCCCGGTAATGGTACCCATGTACCTGCAAACCATATATAGAATTTTGCATGAATTTTATAACTCAAAATGGAAAGCATCAAAAAGCCTCCCATTTTCTCCCAATCTCCAAAACCATACAAAAGCACAATTCTCAAACTTGTAAAATGGGGAGACATTATTTGAAGCTTGTGAATCAAGCTAAACAGGGTAATAGTCCCAAATAACTAAACAAGTAATCATTCAGAAGTGGAAAATGAGATAACCTTCTTGTTCCAGATTCCTCAGTTTCAAACATCATCCGGAAGCGCATGCCAAGTGACACTTGGTTGCCATAGACAGCCTTGTAGTATTTGGCTAACGGAATAACAAATTCTGATGGGCTAGCCCTGCATATAAACCGATAGCAAGTGTAAATAACATGTCATAAAGAACAACTTCCTGATTTGCATAATTTCAAAAATAACTTTTTTCTCAATCACTGACCTTGGGTTGTAGAACACAGTAAAGGGACTATTGTTAGCCGCTGCATGTGCTGCAGCAGCAAGGATGCCAATGTGCATGCTGTCACTTGATAAAACTGATGAGGACAGATTGGTAGGTTGCCGGTTAGCCCGTCTGATGCCCAAGAGAAGCTGCTGCTTTTCATCTCTGTTCAGACATGTATGTGACAAGGTTACTCAATGTGGGTGGTTCACTACAAATGCTGTATTCAGATGCATGTCGTATGCAATAAGTATCATATGATGTGAAAAAGATTGAGACATGCGCAAAAAGCTTCAGTTATTTCTCAGCATTTACCTAATAAACAAGACTGAGTCACCAGCCAGAAGCCTCTTTCCACTTACAAAGAGGCTCCAGCCTGTCGTAAGCAAGTGACGCTTTGGTTGTCCTGAGTTTAGGGAAAGAATAGTATGGATAAGCAGTAAATCAAAATTCAGTAGAGATGTCTAAGGAAACAGGCAAAAATGTACCACGGTAGATATGTCTGAAAGTCCAAACATTATCATGTAGATCCCTGGCCACAATTTCTTGAGCAGGTGGTTGCATGGAGAAATCCTAAGAAGAGTAGTGAGAACATGAGTTTTTGCCATTGACAAAGCATGTGTATTTTCACTTTTAAGGGTGAGAGATGCATACAAGCGGTGGGAAAATCTTCTCAGCCGCTCGACGAGGCACAGAGAAGCCTCCATGAGTGCTAGTATCACTTGCTGTTAATGTTTTACAGAAGAACTCTGGTTGTGGCTTGTTTGACCTAAGTGCAATGTCTGATCTCAGTAATGCTTCCTTGTCATACTGCACACAAATTGCTGATATATTTAGTTGAAGTTAGCTGCTTAGCAGATAAGAAAATTAATTAATCATGAAAGAGGTATAAACTATTGCCACTGTAATCTTAGCGACTCTCCGTGATCTGATTTAACATCTAAAAGTGGAAATCACATTCTATCAATTTGTTAAAATAAAGTCCTTACAGAAGGAACAGGTTGGAGGGTCATCTGGGCATAAACTTCATCTGTTTCCGGGTCCGCCTATGAAAGCAAATGAAGAAGTAACAGTCTTAACACCATAGATCCAAATAAACTCACGAATGGAATTAGGAGCTACAAGTTAAAACGCATAGGAATTAGGACGCTCTTTACATGCAATGTAACATTGTGAAGGAGACATAGCAGCTTGGAAGGGAGATTGGGGTAGTTTGGAATTGGACCATCCACATCCTTCTTCATAGATGCCGCAACCTGAAGCCCATGGTATCGGTATCACGTGAGGACACAATTTACCTCAAAGCCGAAAAAATAGAATGACATACATAAGGAAAAACTGAAAACTTGCAACAACAAGCAATCATAAAAGTCAATACACAGCTGATAAAAGGTGCAGCAAGTTTACAAATGAAGTCATAGAGGAACCTTTAAAATGCTGAAATTGCTAAACGGGACCAAGCAAATCGCTAAATACCCAAATTATCTTAAGCATAAATCAAACCTCAAGCCATGTTGTTTAATATAGCTTAAGCATAAATCAAACCTTAAGCTATATTAAACAACATGGCTTGCAGACAAGTTTTACCATGTATAAATCATCAACCTGTCAATAACTTCATATTCCAAACAACACCTTTTTATTGGGCTGTCTATCTACAACTTCTTCAAACCAAATACTACCAGGGACAAACAACCGTTGACTTGGGAGGCAAGTAGAAACTGAAAAAATTTCCCCCAAGGAATCTGGAACTAGATTTGATTTGATTGCCTAAAAATTCCGGGAGGGCAAAAACACAAGGGGAAGTTTTCAATTATGATCAACCTTCCCCAACTATTAATGAGGGATTAACTGCTAGAACCCACCAAAATGGAGGCTTAATGGAGTAATTTGGAAAAATTCACCTGTTCACTGTGGCCTTGAGGGAAGTAAACGACATGGGTGCCTGCGGCTGGCAAGTTCACCAGAGGTCCAGCACAAGCTTGCCATAGCTCCACGTTTATGGTCTTCTTCTCTGCTGACCCTGCATCATCGCCATCATCAATACTATCAGCAGCAGCAGCAGAATGGCTCACACTGAATCTCAACCACCCACTCCCTCCAAGATCCCCAATCTTCTTTTTCATTTCCCTATATGAATTGGAAAGAGAAGTTTTCCTTTCTCTGCCATCTCCCCTTTTTGTTTGGCTCCCAAGGAAATCTTACAACAGAAAGGAAGGGAAAATGGAGCAAAAGCGACAAAACAGCCGGCTCACAAGTCACAGCACTAGCTGGTGATAGAGATAGGAGACAAATTCCCCTTCTGGTAAAACCTTCGTTAGTTACGTTGTTGATCCAAATTATGCAGAACAAAAATCGAGCTTTTGTTCTCCCACCATTAAATTTAGCTACATACGGACACATAGAAATCTCCTATGTTGCGGCTGAGCTCCAAGTCAGAGCGTTTTATTACAAAAAATCACCTGTTTCAGCTGTGGTAGTGGCGGCGGAGGAGGAGGGAACGGCGGCTCCGGCGCCGTTCGCCGGCGTTTTCATTGCCTTCTACTTTTTTCTTCTTTACCCCTTTCTTTCCGGGACTGATTCGCGGAGTAAAATGAAGCTGATCCAGAGTGTATTCACTTCCCTATAGCTCCCTTTTCTTTAGCTGATTCAATAGCTACTCTTCATTAAAGTCTGCAACTTTACTTAAAACCCACCTGACCCAGGAAACTTCAAAGCATTTCCTCCATACCCAATAGGTAGAAACACAGATCGGTTGAAGTTCCGGCCAGTTAGCCGGCGAAAAAGTGGCCGGAGAGAGACTCAGATAGATGCAAGGTACTAGAAAAAAAAAACAGCAAAAAAACAGGGGGGTAGAAAAGAAAACCTGAAATTCCCACAAAGAGGAAAAAAATTACAGAAGAAGGGAAGGTGTGGGATTTTTTTTCTGGGTAAGTGCAGGATGTTGAGTTTCTCAGAGACCAAACAAGGGTATGAATTTTTCGCTTGCCCCTATGTTCCCCTACATTACCCAGACAAAAGAGAAAAAACTTTCCCTCCCCTGTTTTCCTCTTCTTCCTCTCTATCTCTCTCTCTCTCCCGCTCTCTCTATCTCTTCCTTCGCTAATGCTTCTTCTTCCTTCTCTCTCTGCTCTCTGTGCTAAGTTTCGATTTTCTTTGCATTTCTTTTTTTAATTATTTTAGGGGCTGAGTTGATGTAATAAAGATGAACAGTAATCAACTGGAGTGCCGAGTATGTATCTGTTCATTATTCTATGTATTTATTCGTCTGTTAATTATGTACTTTTCTGTGGCTTCCATTGAAAATGCCATTACTGAAACTGACTGATAACGCCTGCCTTGCCTCCCCCATTGTTCCCAATTTATCTTCTCTGTTCTTTCCTGGTGGTGATGTCTTTTCCTCTGTGTTTCTGCTTGTTGACAGTGTATCCCATTATCCCATCCCATGATCCCTTTCTCAGTTCATGATAAGAGATCATGGTAAGATTATTATCCGCATTCATCGATGGAAAAGCTAGTAGAGGACACAATGGTGTTACCTCTTACGACTCTTCTCTCTTGTTGGCTAGGATTTGAAAGTAAGTGAACACGTTTAGAATGTTGGTTTTAAATTCAAGAAGTTTTATTTGGTGGTCGGTCAATGCATATGATGACATCTAGCACATCCTAAGCCAAATTTTTCATCTTAACAATTAATGATGGATGTGCTCAGTATCATTAGTTTAGGTGGGAAGCCCAAACTCAGAATCTCGAGAGAACATACTCTCCGTGGTAACATTTGTCCCAACAATATATGATTCCATCTGATCCACTCTGCGGAGAGGTTTGTCTTACTCACGATGTTACCTAAGCAAGCTGAGGACACAACTCGGGGTGTTACTAACTCTTTTTTTCATATGGGATAAGATCTGGAAGTTAACAACACCAACATTAAAACATTCGTTTGAACAACAAATTGTGAACGATGTTCATGCAGACAGTAACTTCTAGCACAATTCAAACGAGCTTTCAGACTCTCAACACAGTCACACTTCTCGTAGTAGCATTTCTATTGTTGAAATACAAGATCAGTCTTCACCGGGTTCTATCTAATCCAAGTTTATGGTCGACATTTTTCTTGCTTTTCCTTAATTTTGGGTTTCAATTTTGGACAACTAGTAATAAACAGAAGGAAGAAAGAGAGTAGTGGATATAAACCATAGCTCCTTAACCTTGGTTATAATATGAAGGGACCTACCAACCCCACTTACGATGCTTATTAGCTAAAGAACGACGGACAATAAAACAAAACATTAAGTAATATTGTACTTTTGTTTTCTTCAAACTAACCCAGATGGAATTTACCCAAAGCAATCGTCACTCCTCCACCACCATTATTTGATGCACATGGCACTTGATCTCTTTACTAGTTTTTTAATCCATCCGCTTAATATACGATGGATTAGACTAATGGCTTTGACAACTATTTCATAATCATCGTAACCAACAATGATGATGCATTATTATTTTGTGTGATTGTGTCATTTCATTCAACACCAATTTATACCGTATTGTCACTGCTTTTGGGCTAGGGTTCGGTGATTGGCGGTGACGATTTGTCACCTTCCCTTTTCATTTAGGTGGGCTTGTGGTTTATGCTGCTGGAGATGTCATGCATTATACTTTTTTGGCATCTCGTCTGCTGAGTTTACAAGTTCTGATATCTTACGCGACCCTAGCGAAGTTGCTGCCTCAAAACTTATGAAGAAATTGGCAGACATATATTTCGCGAAGGTCGCTGCTTCTTCATACTCTGTTTTCTCGTTGACTACGCGGCAGGTTGCTTTGTGGAAGTCCCAGCAGAGTGCGCACTCTTCTGATTGGTTGTGTGTTGTCCCTGTTGCTGGGTTGGGCCAGACTATGAATGGAATGACCTTTTATTTTTTTTTGTAGACCCTTTATTTAATACGTCTTGCCAAGGTGCCATGACCGTGAAGACCATGAAAGCGCCTCCTCAAGCATGACTTAGGGGGTCATCATCGTGATGCGGTTAGTGAATTACTAAAGACATCCAGGAAGTACTGGGTGACCATCATGGGGAGCTCCAAACTATCATATGCTATGATACCTGACTTTTTAAACACACACCAAGCCATCGTGATGCCTCGCAAGTGACAAAAACCAATACCGCGTCCAACCCCCCATCATCGATGCCAAGAGCCACATTGAATTCAAGAGGCTAACCCACATCAATTCTAAAGTGTAGGTAAAAGTGCACATAAATTCCGAAACAAACTTGGCAAGAGGATGTCATTTGGATTCATGGATAATCCACCAATCCGCTTGATCCAATCCATGAATCCACTAATCCAATCCATCAATCCACCAATCCAATTCATTTGCCACCTCTACATCTTATGTTGTGAGCACTGAGCAGGGTTTAATGGTTTATGTACCAGTACTGTTTCCACCGTCGCAGAGGGCAAAATATCAGCAAAATTCAATTACTCTGTATTTGGATTTGCGTCTTCCACCGCCAAATCCCATGTTGGGTTGCGTCGAGTAGTCTGGGCCACTAGGAGAAAGAGAGGGCAATAAGCCAAAAGTGTCAATAAATGCTCCAATCGGGTTAGTTATATATACCTACGCATTTCAATCAACACTCCAACATGTTCATTCCCAATGCAAATTTAATGTTAACAATCCCCACACCCAACTTGTGTGTATAATTTATGATCCGATGTATGTATTGTATGGTGTTTGTCCAATGGTGTCTTTCGGTCTACAATTCATCTGAAAGACTGAAACCCTCTTTTGGACCACGAAGGTGGAAAGTATATAGTTGGAGATCATAATCATAGGCATGAATTGACCACACCTACGAATTATGTGTACATAATTTAGGGCTGCAAATTCGGTTTCGGGGTTTTTGGTTTTAACTGAAACAGGAATAGTTTACACGCTCTTGTCGATTTTTCTTACTGGTTTCGGTGAAAATTGAAAACTCGATAACATACGTATATATTGTTTGCTAGCGTATGGTGTTTTTCCCCTTATTATCCGGGCTAAAATTGAGCCATTAAGGGTCTGCTCGATTTTCAGGAAAAAAAATTTGGACAACCCTCTTAAACACAATGGCAGAGTCAGAGGGTTTGGACTCTATCACGGGCACATGTAAATTTTGGTAAGAAAAAAATTATTATATATGCATATGGAAGCGATGTAACTCACCAATGTAATCGGTTTTCAAAAAAAAAAAAAGGATGAACAATCCACATAAACATAGTGACACAGCCAAAGGGTTTGGGCTCTGTCACAAGGCACATGTAAATTTTGTTTACAAAAATAATAAATTCCTATGTATGCATATGAAAGGAATTGAACTCACCAGTTTAAGGTAACGTAGTGATATTTTGTCACTGCGCTAAAGTCCATTTATTGTTATTTGATTGTCATAAATTAATTTATTGCCCTATAAATCAAATTGCTAATTGAAATAATTTATATTCTTAAAAAGAAGGACACTAGACACACATAATTTCAAATTTCGGCTCGGCCACTACTTAAACGATTTGGTCCTGGTGGAACTAACCGTTTTGAATTTTTTAGTTTTCATATTAGCGATTTGGTTAGCCGCAACGAGCCAATCTGACAGCCCTAATACACACTAAAAGGTTAAGGAAAAGGAGATTATACTCCATGTCAATAGTTACAAGATTACACTCCATGTCAACAGGATTACCGTGCTCATGTCATTTGGTGTAAATATGTGTATTTTAACCAATGTCTTAAAGATCCTATCGTAATGACCGGTCGAATTGGAAATAAAAGATATCGAATCCGAAATGATAAATGATTTTAGCATTTAAAATGATTGAACCGGTAAGATCTTAGGATTATACCTTCTTACTAACTTTTTCGGTATAACTTTTGATATGCTTTCATAATCATTGATTTAACATGATGATAGATACAATATTGATCAAGACTATTATAGTGAAACTTACTTTCCGCTCTTTGATAAAGTATACGCGCCTTAATATTGTTGGGGGAAAGGCTAGAGAGTGACATTCTTTTTTGATGGAAAGGCGAGAGGACGACGACCAATGTGGACGCGTTTGGACCATCGTCCATATATGTCGACAGGGAAAAGGGGAGGAAAAAACAGTTTACACATATCCTCGTGGCAAAATTGGAAGAAAGCGGAACACAAAAACCATTTATATGTAAGTTATGGATGAAACAATTTATATGTGTACGTTGAGGGGTTTGGTTGGATGTATTTGAAAATACAAGTTAGTTGTTTCAATTGCATGTTATATGCTTTGTATGTAATTGAGTGTGATGTATTTTATTTTGCTTGACATGTTATTGGGTCATGTAAAAAGGGAAGTTCAATCGCGGATTTGAACCAAAAATTATAAAATCGTACCGTAGGTTGTAGCGGAAAAAGTTAGAGGTAAGGTATTAAGTGTTGAAATCATGGTTGAAATGTTTCATGCCTGCTACCAAACCATCCTTTTAGTTTAGACTCCGATATGGAGTATTTTCGGGCGGACCGTCTGTTTGATACGGTTTCATAAATACTGATTTGAACATGGGACCTCCGCTTTGAAAATCAGCGATGGAGTCGTTGGACCGACCCTTTATGAGTGTGGTGTATTTTCACAGGGTTAAAAAATGCGCAATTCTAAGTATGCTTAGACGCTAGGCAATGACAAAATGCATCGCCTAGGCCTAGAGATACCATTAGGCATTTATAACGCCTAGGCAACGTTAGGAGCGATTAATCAGCTGAGGCGTGACTAATCGAAGTTAGATAGACTTAGGGGTTTGTATATATATATAAAATTGCCCAAAATGCTGCCATCCCCAATGTCGAACCGTTCAACCCAACAACTCGTCCTACACATGCCTACTTCCTCGATTGGAATAAAAAAAATTTAGGTCGAGCTCTCTGAATTGCAACTGCTTCTCCTGCCTCGAAATTCATCATCAACGACTGTAGTGCTTCTCATCTCCAACTTTGGTCGGCTCGACTCTCTGACTCCCTACTATTTAACGTCGTCGATTATTGAGCAACCAAACTCCAAAACCAGGTCGTCGTCTCCAATCTATCTCTAGCTTCAACCAAAGAGAAGGATGGGCTTACAACATAGCGTCTCAACCTCTCAATCAACTAGTCTACATACAATTCAACCCAAGGTTGACGGCCAAGAAGAAGAGGATAACGAGGAAGAAGAAGAATATTGATATTCTTCCATGTACAAATGCAATTGAAGCACAAGGCTTATTATTTAAGGAGATGAGATGATCATTCGTATGTGTTCAGAGATGAGGAAGGAGATGGTGCACCATTCATTGTTGTTACAAATACCATAGTAACTAACAAGTGAGTATCTTGAACTTCACAGGAGCGTAAAAGTGAGAGAGTTTCACGATGAAGAATTCGATGAATTTTAATGTTTGCTGTTTAATTATTTCTATGAACGTGTTTGATTGAACTAATGTTTCAAACTTTGTATAAAGTTGTGATTGTAATTTCTATAATGCGGTGGGAAAGTACAATAGGATCTCCTTCGCCCGCGCGGTTGCCGAATGTTTGACTTGGTGCCTACTTGTTTCGTGCACGCTTCAAATGATGAGGTTTTTGGGGCTTTTTTCAACGCCCTCACGGTCAAAGTCCAGGCCAAACTGCTAATTAGCCTAAACAAAAGAGTTGAGTGTCTTGTTGCCGATTTGACATGGACACTTCCATTTGTTTTGCAAAATAAAAGTTTCACACCAGTAGTTGGTAAGGTGTGCATATTAAATTCATCTTTGTATTGTTTCAATGTGAACATTTTCAACTTTAATTTTTTTATAATTGTTTTTTTTATTTCACTCTAAAATGTGTCTTGTCAATTAAAATCAGTTTCTTATTTATAAATTATAAAATTTTCGTACTTTGTTGATATGTGATTTGCCTAATGTATAACCGTCACCCGATAATGTAAACTAATTTTAGGTCACTTGGTGCCGAATCCCAACCTTTGTGAGCCGAAAGCCTTTTTTTCCTGTCGAAGCTTATTTTGACCTGGGCCTAACTTACTGATTAAGTAGGACAACTATTCAGGTCCATCCTGTATTTGTGAAATTGTTTTTTTTCTAACTAAATATCTTTGATCCATGGTAATACATGTATATTTGAGGGATTTTTTTTTGTCATAATTAGGGATGTATCATGTATATATAGTTTTGTTATTGGTGCGCTCACTTTTTTTTTCCGCATTGAATGGACTCACCTCATAATCATCATTTCAAGCACGCAATTCATGTCCAAACAGTATTTGAACGTCACTTGTAATATGATGAACAAGAAATACATGATTACAACCAATGCATTTAAAAGCGCGATTCTACCTAGAAGTGGAAAATGGGTAAAATCGTAAAACATAGAATCAAAGCGTAAAAGCGTAAGTTTTTGACGCACCCTCTAAAATAGCTAAAATATGTTAAGTACAACATATATAGTATGTAAAATGTGAGTGTGTAGATTTTAGATGAGTGAATAACTACATGAAATTCATAATTAAAATGTAATATCTAACACATAAACTAATTTGTGTTGACTCAAAAGTAGAGAAAACTCATAACATCTTAATAATAAGCTCATAAACGTAGATCGTAACCCGTAAATGAGCTTGAGAATCCAAATTCTCATAAGTTGGTTTGATTTTACATAATTACATACGATCAATTACCCAAAATTACATAATTTTGGGGCAATTAGCACATTTTTATGAGATGAACAAAATCTTATAAAAACGCTTCAGAATCGCGATTTTAAGCGATTTTACCGATTTTACCATGTTTTTACCAGTTTTTGTGACTAAGCGACTTTAAGTAGAAACTGAAACGTTTTGGTGTCCTGGATACGTAAAAACATAAGTTTTTACGTTTTAATGCGCGATTTTGACTGCACCGATTACAACAATTTAAGTTCCAATTTCCAAATTGTGCATGTATTGTTTACAATGCATCGTTTTTTTGTTTTTTTAGCAGAAACAATACATGGATTGTTAATGTGATGTGACAGAAACTATCACTCATTTTGAGTGATTGTTATATCTCAACTTTTAGTTGTGATTGTTGAGATAGTTGAGTTGAGATTGTTTTGTCTCAGCTTTTAGCTGATGCGACATACACAATCACACATACCAAACGTTGTATTCTACAATGCATCAAATTCGACAATACATGTATAATATTATACATGCATTCTCAACAATACATCTATTTAACAATCGCAACTTCCAAACGACCTTAAGGTTAGTTTAAGAGGTGAGTGAATTGTATACATTCGGTTGACGATTTTTTTTGACCGGTATATGTATATCAGAACCGAATTCCCACCACCGGAGCCTAGATACTTGGTCCAATTCGGCCCGCAACCCCAAGTGGTTTTTCTCTCTCTCTCTATCTCCGCAGTTCCCGGTTTCCATTCGCTTCTTGTCTCTCGGTTTACGAGGAGGGGGCGGGAGGAGAGAGAGAGATAGAGAGACGCAGGAAAGCTGAACGCAGCGAGCCAACCGAGAAACAGAAATACCCGTTCCAAAATACCGAAGCCATAAGCGCCAATAACAATAGCCGCCTGCTGAAACTCCGTCGACGACCTCTCCGACTCCGACGCGATAACGCTCTACCTACTCGCCCTAAACATCGAAGATTCGCCCTCCCGCACGTTGGCCACACCCCCTCACCTATCGGGATTTCATTGCATCACCTTCCTTTCCCTCCCTGTAAATCCTCTCTTTCTCTTTCTCCCTCGCTCTGTTGTCTTCTGGTGTTCCGATCCTTCCCTCTCTGCGGTAGTTTCTTTACTTAGTTTCTGAAACCTGAATCCAATTAGATGGGCTCCGTTCTCAGCGAAATTGTGCTCCTCGAGATCGCGACGAATAGTATGAATTTCTAAGTTATCTGTTTGGTTCCTCGGAAAAGGAGAGGGAAAGAGTAAGCAAAAAAGATAATCTACAATGCGCATTTGAAATTTCCATACATCTCGAGATTTTCCTGTTGTAAAGGAAGATAAAACCAGGCACTCTTAACGTCTGATCTGTGCTTGGTGTGAGGGCATCTGAAAAGGTGACAAAAGTATTTTTCCCCTTTCCTTCTGGGGTTGTATGTGCATGCCAATTTCTTCAATCATAATATGGTGGAAGTTTTCGTTTGTGTATGTTGCTTAAGAGGCCAAAATCCCATACAAAGACCAGAGTATGTTGATTTGCACCAACATCATCGCGGGCGGGGCGGCGATGAGATTGCTTTTGTTTTGATTTGAGCATTGTGCTGTGCATTTGATCCTATTGTGGAACTTCTAGTGTTTGATGATTGTTTGATTTGTTTCGCTTATGCAGGAGGCTTATTTGGTACGTGTCTCTTGATCTTTAACTGCGTATCAGACGATGAGATCCTCAAAGGCTCGTCCTTGAATGGTTGAAACACATTTCCTTGTACTGTGAGGTTAGCTGTGTTCTCTTCAGATCTGTTTTACTTCGATTTTCTGGTATTGTATCCCTTTTCTTGTTCATGTTGGGATGGATTCGGATTCTTTTGCATCTGAGCCTTCTTTGATATCCCATAAATTGTGGAGCTAGTCTTGGGGAGCATGGAATGCACAATATCCATGTCACTTTGAAGTAGAAGACAATCTGCATTTTGTTTTTGCTAGAGACGTAAGCCTCCATTAACAGTCCGTTAAATAATGTTTCATACAGATTCTGCAACATCAACTTAAGCAGTACAGAATCTGCTTAGTCTGGTAGATTTGGCCAGTGGAGATATTGTCTTATTTAAAAACCTTAATAGACATGATTTATGAGCCAATGTTGCCTTTAAACAAATTATGTTGTCTGTGAACTGGTTTGGTAAAGTTTCTGTCTGAAGCTTTGCTGCATGCTTGGCTTGGTTGAAAGCATTCAGGTCATCTATTGAGATGGAGCAGCGTACAGAAGCTTCCCCTATTGTGAAAACCGAGGCAGATGAAAACGCTACTCCAAGCTTCAAAGATTATGTCCAGCAAGCCATTCAAAGGATCATTGACATTTCTTCTTCCTCAGAGGAGGATGACTCCGATGAGCCTCTTGAAGATGTGGATAGCCAAGCTAAGGAGAATAGTGCAAACAAGCAGCTAGTGCTTTATGATCCTGTTGCTAGCAGTAATAATAGCGAGCTTGACACTAATCCCGAACCAATCCAGAGCAGAGCCCCAATGCTTACTAGATATACCCCTCGAGTTATGCCTAAAGTTTTGCCATCTGTAGGTGCTTTCACAGTTCAATGTGCCAAGTGTTTCAAGTGGAGGCTCATCCCAACAAAGCAGAAGTACGAAGAAATACGTGAACATATACTGGAAAGGCCATTTTATTGTGAATCAGTTCAAGAATGGAGACCTAATGTGTCATGTGATGACCCTGAGGACATTTCTCAAGATACCGGCAGACTCTGGGCAATCGACAAACCAAATATTGCCCAGCCACCTCCAGGATGGCAACGCTTACTACATATCAGGGGTGAAGGCAGTACCAAGTTTGCTGATGTGTACGTCATTTTCTTATTTATAGTCTTTGTTTCTCTTCGTGTTTGAGCATCTTACTTACGGAAGGAACAGACTCTTTGAATCATCAATTGAATTGAAACTTAGACATGGTAGTTCCCTTTTGAGAGATGTTATGGGAACCTTTAGATTGATTAGCCTTTGCTTGTATTGGAGATGCACTTGCACGTGATTGCAGATTCACATTAAGAATGCTTACACTTTGTCGTATACTGAACTATGTTTTTGGAAAATATCTTACAGGTACTATATGGCACCCTCTGGAAAGAAACTCCGCTCTATCGTTGAGGTTCATAAGTAAGTTGACTTTACTTTGTTTCCAACATCGAGAATGTTATTAACAGTCATTATGTTTTGTGTTACCGGAAGGAGAATCTTCAGAGATGTATTTATAGTTGCGTTTCTTTCCTGAAACCCTTAATCCTGCAGGTACTTGGCTGATCACCCGGAATTTGCAGAAGGTTTATCCATGTCGCAATTTTCATTCCAAACTCCAAAACCATTGCAAGAAAACTATGTCAGGAAGCGACCTCGTTTACCACCTCAAACTGATAATCCCAGACTTCTACAACCAGCGGAAGGTATCCATGGAACTGATATTGCTGTTATATTAGCTCTTGAGTCTTGTTGCTGCTAATAGAAGGGTAGAAGAACTAAAAAGTTACATATGAATTTGCTTGTCCATACATAAAAGTGAAACATCCTTGCAGTAAAAAATTAGCTCACTTACTGGAAAGAAATTACTCAATCTAATATTTTGTGTTTTGTTGCAGCGACTCCTCTGTCAATGGTTCCTCCAGAGAACTATGTAGATCTGAAGCTGGGCATGCCGCCGCTCTTGCCTCCACAATTGTTGCCTCAGGAACCTGCTTCTGATTGTGCCGGTCAACAGGCAAAGAAGCCAAGAACGTCCTGGAAAGACATGTACTGTGATGAAAGTTCAGTTTATAACAACCAATGTCAGCCGACAGTAGGAGAGCCGAGTCAATCTGTAAATGATGGTTTGAGTCTTTGAAACCTCTTCTCCTTGAAAATTCTTGCATTCCTTGGTTGCAATATTTTTTGGTCACAGGCTTTATCTTTTGTTTACCGGAAGTAAAGAACATATCGGAACTCAGGAGGAACGGGGAGTAGCCTGTGAAGCATCGATTGTGTTGTAGAAATATAGTTTGTATTCTCTTTCATATCTTTATCGTCTTCTCTCAAAACTTACTCTACAAGCCTGCAACTTCATAGCATTCTATATGTTCAGTTGCTGTTAAAAGAGATGACACTATTTTGCCCTTAGCAAGCATGGCGGTTGGTTACAGATCACATATAATAATTGAGGAGAGTGAAGGATCTGAAGCACCAGTGATGACGGCTCCATTTCTTTTGACAACAAGCAGGTAATCCAAAGCTGTCTTGGAAATGGTTTCGCCGGGTATCAAAACCGGGATCCCTGGTGGATATGGACATATAAGCTCTCCACAGACCTTCCCAAGGCTTTCTCCAATGCCCACTCTTTGCTTATTTGCGAAAAATGCATCTCTTGGGTTCATGCTCATATTCACTTCTGTAAAAATGCCACAAGCTGCCCTCTCTGGTTTGGCAGGAATCCGCGAAGAATGTGCAGCCGATAATGCCTCCAATCCTGAAACTAACCTCTGTACATCCACCATTTGAGTGCCTAGGTTGATGGCCAATGTTAAGGATGAAGTCCCTACAAGTTCAGCGACAATCCCGTGATTCCTGTCCAAGTAATCATCTGCCTCAAAGCCGGATAATCCAAGCTGCCAGAAACCAACAGTAAGGCGCAAAGGATCGATGTCCCGAAAATTCACAAAGCTTGATGAGTCAAGCATTGTGATCCCTGAAATCCGTTTTATCAACCTCTTGGCTTCACCGGCCAGAAACAATGCACTGTTAAAGACGGTCTGAGGGTTTTCACCAATTTGTGCTGTGGCAGCATCTAAAGATGCTAGGAGCAAGTAACTGGGACTTGAGCTTTCTAGTGTTTGGAGGCATTGGCTAACCCGGTCTCTGTCAACCAGGTCTCCAGACACATGTAACATTGATGATTGTGTTAGAGAACATAAAACCTTGTGGGTAGACTGCACAGCCAGATCTGCACCCTGCTGAAGAGCCGAACTCAGCATTTCAGGGTGGAAACCTAAGTGTGCTCCATGAGCCTCGTCGACGATAAGAGGAACCCCGAAGGAATGGCAGACCCTGGAAATTGCAGTCAAGTTGCTGCATATGCCATGGTAAGTTGGGGAAGTGATGAAAACTGCACCTGGTTTTTGGCCTGCCACTACCAACTCTTCTATAGTCTTCTCCACCTAAATGTAGTACAGGCATTCCTGTGAGAAATGGCTCTATACTGCTCCCACCCTATCTAAAACTCATTCTCTCCCCTTGGCAACTTAAAACTTCAACCTCAGAGAGAAATCAAGCAGAAGCACTGACCTGGTCTGGGGTGACTCCACCTGGGATGTCCCAAGTGGAATCATATTCAGGAACAATGTACTTGGGCACTGCTCCAGACAATACCATAGCAGATGTCGCAGACATATGCGCATTACGCGGCAGGATCACATATTGTCCAGGGGAACAGGTCGCCATGATTGCTGCTTGAACTCCACACGTCGTACCTCCAACAAGGAACCATGTCTGGGATGCGCCAAACACTTTGGCAGCCTGCTTTTGTGCCTCTAAAATGGGGCCACTCGGAGCAAACAGACTGTCCAGCTCCGGGAGCTCAGGTAAATCATGAGCAAATGGTTGCGAACCAATCAGCCGAGTCAATGAACTCGGAGCCCCACGGCCGCTGTTGTGGCCTGGGAAATGGAACCTGGCTACATTCTGCTCAGCGGAAGCTTTCAGAGCATTCACCAAGGGAGTAGTAGTAGTAGTAGTAGATGCACATTTTTCAGCTTTAACCATAGTACCATTTCTGGAAACTGGCAACAACTCTTTTTTCGCAGCGTCTTGATTCTTTTCTTGGGCCAAATTACTCCTTCCCTACAGCATACAGAATGAACCCGTGAATCCTATGCAAAGGGAGATGCTTTCCGAATTCCAGTTACTATTTCTGCTAGGAAATTCGTCGAACACATGGCATTCATGAATTCACTCAACAGTTTTCCGTTCATTTTTCAAGGGTATAGAAGTTCTGAATACGGGAACCCAGCTCGGATTTGAAGGAAAGGAGTTTGGATGATTCACCTGGGAAGCAGAAACTGCGGTGCAGCAGCCCATTCTCTCGATTGGAAACCTGAAACTCCATTTGTAGCAGAAACCCACCTGATGACTCTGTGAAATTGAAACAGGGATTAACTTACAGTAGGAAAAAGAAGGCAAGGAGAGAGTTCATGATTGAGAGTGTTTGGAATTGGAGTAGTTACAGTTGGCAGAGAGGAAGAGAAGGAGTAGCAAGAGTTCTTCATTCTCTATTCCTCGCTGGCTGTCGGCTCCGCTGCATTATTTTTAGTTTTTACTCAACATCACATCACTTCAACAGGTTGGTTCTTCTTCAAAAATGGTGGTTAATATTTTCTCAAGTCCAATAAAATATATAAAATAAAATGCACATCTCATTATCTTTTTATTTTAACACATCTCATTATCCACATCAGTGTAATGGAAATCTTTTATTAGATTGGAAAATACTATATCTGTCTTTCGAAATGTCGCCGTTTGCCTTTTCTTAACGGAAATAAATGAGAATGAATATTCACGTAACCATCTATTGGATCATGGATGCCGAATCCAAACAACAGCAGCAACAACCAAACTTTTCACATCAGGACAAAGAAGCAATCAAAAACCGAAACATTGAAATGAAGGAGAGAGAGTTTGTTAAAGAGGAAGGAAGTACACACGGATCAGTCTCGTTTCCGCGATCTCCTTCTTCTTCTTCTTAATGGTTTCTTCGTCAAACGAAATTCAAATCGATTCCTCTACGTTTCTCGTCAGCTCTCCTCTCTCTTCCGCCATCTCCCGATCCTGAAACAGCTACAATGGCGACGCCTACGCCCCTGGTGTTTGCTTACTATGTCACTGGCCACGGATTCGGCCACGCCACTCGCGTTGTCGAGGTAAAGAAATGATTACCTGGTTCCCGCCTCGGCGGGGAAGTGGTTTTGGAAATGTGCTTCAATTTGCCGATCGATCGATCGATTGATTTGATGGTGATGTGTTTTGCAGGTGGCGCGCCATCTGATCGACGCCGGTCATTTGGTCCACGTCGTCACCGCCGCTCCGGACTACGTCTTCACTTCCGAAATTCAGTCGCCCAACCTCTTCCTACGCAGGGTTTTCAAACTTGATCTTCTTCTCGTTTTTCTCAATTGATTCAGCTGCATTGCCTCCGTTTTGATTGGTGGCTTATCATTTTTGCCTCCCTCAAAATCTCGATTTATTGTGGAATGATGTCCGTCAAATGAGTTTTTGTAACAGTGCCTCGGATTCTTGGTATAGTTGTGGCAATTGGAAAGTGACTGTTAGATGTCTTGCGTGCTGCCTTGCAGGTCTTGTTGGACTGTGGAGCTGTTCAGTCAGATGCTCTCACGGTTGATCGTCTTGCCTCTTTAGAGAAGGTGCGGTGCAGTTCTGTTTTTATTGCTCTCGGTTGCTTTAGACCGCTCAGAGTTTATTCCGGTTGGTTGATTTTTTTTGTTGTGTTTGGTGCTTGCAGTACTCCCAGACAGCTGTGATTCCCAGGGAGTCTATTTTAGCATCAGAAGTTGCGTGGCTCAAGTCAATTAAAGCTGACTTAGTGGTAACTTCCGGACTTTTTTTTTTGTTTGTGTTTCCAGTCGGCTCGTGGCTCCTTGAATCGATGCAATATGTGTAGGATGTCAGGTGAACTGTAACATTCAGTCTCACTGGTCTTTTTTCTCATGGAGCAGGTTTCAGATGTTGTTCCTATTGCATGCCGTGCAGCTGCTGATGCAGGAATTCGTTCTGTCTGTATCACCAACTTCAGGTGAAATGGTTTTGGATACTCTACAGATGATATATTGAAGTTTTGCGATGACACATTGATTCTATTGCTGGGTACCGGGTAGGGCCTGATTGTGGCCAAGATATGGCTACTTGCTGTAGTCAGATATCTGGTATGGTTTATTGGGACGAAGTGAGTCAAGCAAGTGCTGTTAGAGTCTCAGTGTTGTGTTACCTGTTTCTTTGCGTTCATGAAAGTTCACAAGTTCCCACTATTTTCTGTTGGTTGTTCCCATATTTAGGAGTGATTTACTTTCAAGTCGGTCAAGATTAATAATAGTCATTTTGCTACTCATCCTCTTACTTGATCTCAGCTCATATCCTCTAAGTTCCTCTTTCTTATCGTCGAAGTGATTGTCTATATTGTGCTTGCTTCTCATGAGTAATGTTGCTGTCTTTCTAATCCCATTTCCATTTGATTAGACTAAATCCAGGTCACTTGAATGACATTTGCTTTAACTCTTTGCAGCTGGGACTTCATTTATGCTGATTATGTGATGGCTGCTGGCCATCACCACCGATCAATTATTCTGCAGGTAATAATTCAGATTTTCTTGTATATAGCATTGGTCTGTTTGGAGTTGGAAAATTGAAACCTAGTGCAACTGCCTTCTGTTTGATTAATTCGAGGGAACTTGGCTGTCATTGAGCATAAGTGCTACTTTCCTTCCTAGAGTAGCTCCTCGTTTACGACACAGGAGTACAGATTATAGTGGTAGTGTCAGAATGAGGTTTATGGGTGCAGGACTCACTGCCACTTTTGTTCCCTGGTTCGTTGAAGAACGGATTTGTTATATATTCTTCTTTAACTTTGCTGCAATTCCATTTTGTTGTATCCTGTTTTACTCGCTGGGATTAGATATTAATACAAATGTATTTATCAATCTTATATCTGCCATAGTCATCTTAGTACTCAATTTCCAAAGGAAGAATGGGCATCACTCATCTTTTTAAGTGGCTTTGCAGATTGCTGAAGATTATTCTCATTGCGAATTCTTAATTCGCCTGCCAGGATTTTGTCCTAGTAAGACTTGATGACAAAATGTCCTCTAAATTACTTATATAAAACCATGTCCTTAATTTTTTCTTTTTAAATCGGTATCAGATATATCTAAGTTGCTTGCTTCA